CAAACCGCCAAAAGTTCAACCGCTCAAAATCAAAGAATAGGGGTGGCCATAAAAGTGTTGGTAGAAATCAATGTGCCTTTTGCAAAGAAGATGGATATTAGAAGAATGGGTGCCCAAAGTTGAAGGATAGAGCCGGGAAGCAATGGGGAAAAGCTGTACAAGCTTCAGAGGTTAATGTTGCTAAGGTTGTTGGCGACATTTCAGATTCAGATTCTTCCGGTTATTCTTGTCCCGCACTGCCGTCAGTTTGTTATGCCGACTCTACGGAGTGGATGCTTGATTCGGAAGCTACATTCCAACTTTGAGGAGTTGAAGAGAGGAGACGTGGTGCTCATGGGGAACGATCACGTTTGTCCTATTAGTGGGATTGGCTCAGTCAGAATCAGAATGCATGACGGGGTGACTAGGGAATTGAAAGATGTGAGGTTCGTGCCGCAGTTGACGAAGAACCTCATTTCTCTTGGGACTTTGGAGGCATCTGGTTATAGAGTGATCTTAGAAGATGCTAGTTTGAAGGTCATGAAGGGGTCCATGGTGGTGATGCGAGGTGTCAGGGAAAACAACCTATACTACTTAAAGGGAAAGACAGTTACAGGGGGTCTGGCAGCTTCTATTACCACAGAGGAGGACACTACCACACTATGGCACATAAGGCTTGGACACACAGGTGAAAAGTCCCTTCAGTCATTGGCAAAACAGGGGCTATTGAAAGGTACAAAGACCTACAAGATGGATCTGTGTGAGCATTGCATACTTGGGAAGAAGACTAAAGTAAAGTTTGGCACCGTAATTTACAACACCCAAGGTATATTAGACTACATTCACACGGATGTTTGGGGCCCTTCTAAGCACACATCGCTTGGTGGGGCAAATTATTTCGTCACTTTCATTGATGATTATTTCAGGAGGAGTTGGGTATATACCATGAAGCATAAACATGAGGTCCTGTATATATTTGTGGAGTGGAAGAAGAAAGTGGAGCTGCAGACAGGTAGAAAGGTGAAGACTCTTTGTTCAGACAATGGTGAAGAGTACAAGAGTGATCCATTTCTGCAGTTTTGCCGGATCACGGCATTAGAAGACACTTCACAGTTAGAGAAACACCGCAACAGAATGGGGGTGGCAGAGAGGCTGAACCGTACCTTGCTGGAGAATGTGCGATGTATGATGACGCAGAGTGGATTGGCTAGATATTTTTGTGCCGAGGCGTTAGTTTATGCGAGCCATCTCATTAACAGGTTGTCGTGCACTGCGATAGAGGGGAAGACTCCTTTAGAGCGTTGGTCTGGTTCTGTGGCTAGTAACTATGAGACTCTTCGGATTTTTGGGTGTCCAGCTTATTTCCATGTTAGTGATGGGAAGTTGAATCCGAGAGCGAGGAAGGCTATCTTTGTGGGATTTAGAGAAGGTGTAAAAGGCTTCAAATTATGGGATCCACAAGATAAGAAGATGATCATTAGCAGAGATGTCACATTCGATGAGGCGTACATGATGAAACCTCGAGTTCCTCAGCAGGTGGAGGAAGATCAGACAGGAGGGATATCGCAGCAGGTGGAGGATGATGTGACTCCACCCACTCTAGTTGGCACTGTTCTCATAGAGACTCCTACAGAGGTGACACGGAAAGGAGTTGAGATGATAGTCGGGCATGTGGGGGGTACAGTAGATGGTAAGGCTTAGGAGCAAGGTCATGCTCAGGGGTCCATTGTAGCAGATAGACCGAGGAGAGAGATTCGTCGGCCAGCTAGATATGATGATGTCATGGTGGCATATGCTTTATCGGTGGAGGTCGTTGATGATTTGATTCCTGCCACATTCAGGGAAGCAGAGTCCAGCCCTGATTCTATTAGGTAGAGGAATGCTATGGAGGAGGAGATGCAATCTCTTCAGAAGAACGACACTTGGGAACTTGCACAGCTACCTAAAGGTAAGAAAGCTATTGGTTGCAAGTGGATGTATGCTAAGAAGGAGGGATCTTCTATTGGGGACATTCGGTTCAAGGCCAGATTGGTTGCCAAGGGATATGCACAGCTTGAGGGGGTTGACTACAACGAGGTGTTTTCACCCGTTGTGAAGCATTCGTCGATTCGGATACTATTGGTATTGGTGGCACAGCTGGACTTAGATTTGGTCCAAATGGACATGAAGACGACCTTTCTACATGGAGACTTAGATGAGGAGATCTACATGACACAACCTATGGGTTTTAAAGCTGCAGGAAGAGAATATTTGGTGTGCAAATTGAAGAAATCTCTTTATGGACTGAAGCAATCACCGCGACAGTGGTACAAGAGATTTAATAGCTTTATGATTGGCCAAGGGTACACGAGGAGCCCTTATGACCCGTGTCTTTATATGCGCAAGCTACAGGATGGTGAGCACATTTATTTGTTATTGTATGTTGATGATATGCTCATAGCTTCCAGGAACACTTCAGCTATTGGGAAATTGAAAAAGGAGCTGTCATCTGAATTTGAGATGAAGGACCTGGGAGAGGCTAAGAAGATATTGGGTATGGAGATTGAACGAGACATAGTGAAGGGGAGATTGAAGCTTACACAGAAGAGTTACTTGCAGAAGATGCTGAAGAAATTCAGTTTTGAGGGTAATACCAAGGTGGTGAGTACTCCATTAGCTCCCCACTTTAAGCTTTCAGCTTTGATGTCACCAGTTTCAGTGGAGGATAGGGACTACATGTCCAAGGTTCCTGAGACAGGGCGGGATTATATTGACTACGTGGATTCTGACTATGCCGGAGATCTTGACAAGCGTCTGTCCACTACAGGTTATGTTTTTACATTGGCTAGTGCACCGGTGTGTTGGAGGTGTACTCTTCAGTCTACAGTGGCGCTCTCTACTACGGAGGCGGAATATATGGCAGTGACTGAAGCAGTAAAGGAGGCTTTGTGGCTACATGACTTGTTGGATGATTTGGGGATTGCACAGGAGACCATTCAGGTACATTGTGATAGTATGTCAGCTATCTATTTGGCGAAGAACCAAGTCTACCATGCTCGCACGAAGCACATTGATGTCAGATTTCATTTTGTACGTGACGTATTGGATGATGGTGATGTCACGTTGGAGAAGGTCCACACTAAGGACAATCCTGCTGATATGTTGACCAAAGTCGTGCCAGGTGTGAAGTTTGGTCACTGTTTGAAATTGTTGAATATTCTTCATTGTTGAGGCCGTTGGCGGCCATTTGGATGAACTACGTTCGGCTTGATTCCTTGGGCAAGAGGATACGTAGGCAGTCTTGCAGATGCAGCCAGTTAAGTTGATTGGGGGTGCTTTGATGTCGGTTCAGTTTTGGCAAACGTTCGCCGAGGTGGAGATTTGTAGAATCAGCAGCGGGCAGCAGCAGACAGGTTAAGATTCAGGCAAATTGGGTGGCGGTCGACCGGCCCGGTCGACCGCATTCATGCACATTGTTCACTGGGCTTCAGCATTGGTGGCGGTGTCGACCGAAGATGGTAGCGGTCGACCGGGCCGGTCGACCGCCAATCTCTCTGGATTCTGGGAATGTTGCTGGAAGGAGGGCGGTCGACCGGGTCGGTCGACCGCGATGGATCGCGGTCGACCGGTCCGGTCGACCGACGCTGCAGTTTCGGGTTGGGTTCTGTTTCCAGACCCGTTTCGTTTGTGAGTTGTATTTAAACCCTAAACTCGTTTCTAGGGCTAAGCTTGGGCGATTTTGAGCTGCTGAAAGGGGATTAAGAGGGCTTCTATTGTTGGAGTCTATTGGAGAGATCAAGTGGTCTTATTTTAGGGTTTTGGGTAAGATTTGTAACCCTAATTTGTATTCCCCTTTGATTTCATTAGTAAAGCTTTCCCCTCCTTGCCCCGTGGACGTAGGCACATTGCCGAACAACGTATATATTGTGTATTTGCTGTGATTGGTTGGCTTGTGTTCACTTGTGATCTACTATTGTTCTTGTGTGTGCTTTTGATTTGGCTATTTGGGGCTTCCGCGGCGCACAACACATATTTATGGAGAGGCGGGATCGACACAAGCCCAAACGCGGACCTGCTCGAGGAAAATAATTTGCAACGAAGAACGGGTCATATCTCTCAAATCGTAAGTTGGAATTGGACGAATTATATATGTAAATAGCGTATTTTTTCGAGACGGAGTCAACCAAACCCACCGTTGTTCAGTTTCCCACCGTCCGTTTTGCCAAATTCCCTCCGGATTTAAGAGTGTTGATGTATGAAACCACGCAGTGAAATGAAAGTGATTAATTGTGTTGACGGAGGTCCTCTAACTCTACAAATGTCTGGTCTTTGGGCAAACTGTATTTCCCTGCACAAGCAACAAATCGTAAGAGGGCGGGTGTGATTCCCCGGTTATTCCTCCGAGGATCAAGTCAGTGGGTAGCTTGTGTGGAGAAGTAAAAGGAACTGTAGTAGTTCTTAAGTTCAGAGAATGGTGGAAAAAGCTTACCCTGTAATGGAAAATAGTTTCTTCTTTTATTGTAGTAGAGGGAGGGTAGGATGGTTACTTTGGTTGGGCATGGGCCGGCGGCTAAGTCAGCTTCCACTTTACAAATGTCGGCTGAGGAGTAGAGAAGAGGTCACTTCGATTTATGTGCGGTGTCGATGTTGTTCGATGTGTCATGAATACTATTGGAAGCAGAGTAATGATGACGCCCATATTGTATTTAATGATATTTATGGCGAGGTGATTGGTCATTATTGCATAGGCGGATCATCATTGCATAGGTGATTGGTCATCATAATGCATTTAATGGCATTTAGGGCAATGTGGGGCTCGAGGTTCGAGATATTTTGTCGTATTTCTACTCGTCTTGTGGTAAAGAAGTATCGCCTTTCGAGTCGTCCTCGCAATGTGTCGGCCAATGGGTGCTTCACCACGGCTTAAGGGGATCACGGGAAAGTTCGGCGGAGAAAACAGTCACTCCCTCGAAACTCGTGAAATAGCGGGTTTTAGCGCTGAAAAGCTTTTAAAAGAGCTAAAACCCGCTACAGTAATCTTAAATCCCTCCCCGAACCCGACCCGAACCCATTAAACGAAAAGCCATTTCTTCCCAAATCCCGACTGCGTTCGGTGCCCTAGCCGCCTGCGACTCGTTCCAGCGACTCCTTCCAGCGCCGCCTCCGGTCGACGCCGCCTCCCGCACCAGTAGCACCTCCGGTCGACACCACCTCTCTCTCTCACGGTCTCACTTTCCTCTCTCTCCGGTCAACACACCTCCAGTCAACTTCGTCTCTGTTGGGCTCCGTCCGCAACAGAGAGAACAAGGTAATAAATTTTCAGGTTAAGTCAATTGTAATGTTAATGACATCGATCCCATTCTAATCACTTCCTGTTATTTTAGATACTTTTTTTAAAAAAAAATATCTGATTACCAGTAATATGTGTGGTTGGAATTTTCCCCACCTTTTTTGGACATTTGTATTTGTTAGAACTTAGAAAGTTTGAGGTAGTGTAAACAGGATTACTGTGACCCTTGTATTATCGGATAATTATCAGCAATTTGCTTTGATTTAGGCTTTTAAGTTTTGAGTTTGGAGTTTGGACATGTAATGTGTTTGGAGTTTGATATTTATTGCTTGCTTGCTTAGTATCTATAGACTGATATTATCTATCATGAATTCATGATATTATCTTGCTTTGCTCATTTAGTCATTTATCTATACTTGAATATTTTATTTTTTATGTCAAATTTCTAGTAGTTAATATAATGATGATGATGTTACTAATCAATGTTTTTTTATTGTTGAGCATTTTCATAGTAGAGACTTGAAAGTTTAAGAAATGAGACAAATAACGGTCTTTTTGATAAATAGGTACGTTTTTTATTCTTTAATCTTTATAATTATAGTACTTTGTTAATATTATGTAATTATTACATATATATTTCATGTTTAGGCATCGAGTATGCATTTGTAGAATTTTTTAGATTTTTATATGATTTTCTTATTATTTAGAATATTTAAATATATTTATATTTGGCCGCTATTTGACTGTGCGCTATTTGCCGCTATTTTGCCGCTATAGCGCCAAATAGCCTTAGCGGTACCTCGCCGCGACGCGCCGCGATCCGCTATCAGCTTTATCTCTCTCTCTCTCTCTGATGGCTGCTGCTCTACGAATGTATGGCGACTCTCTCTCTCTTCTCAAAACCCAGCAAGGATTCAACTCAAGTCGAAGAAAGCAAGGGCTTTTCATGGCTTCCGCTGTTCCTGCGGAGCAAAAAATAGAGGGATCTCCGAAGCAAGTGACTGGCGATTCTTTCATCCGTCTCCATCTCAGAAAGCTCTCTCCCTATCAATCAATCTTGCCATTTGAGGTAAGCAGCTTGTTTTATAGTAAGTAGAATGGCTGAGAAGTTTAGTATGCACATAAGATGTTTGATGATTTTCCCCGTTGGGAAGATGATGTGAATATGAGTTTGTTGTGGGTCATTTTGGTAATAATTGGATAGGAGTGTTGGAATTTCTTTGATAAATAGAGTTTTACGATGAACCCATTTGACGATATTGTCTGTTTTTGCTAAAAGTTTGGATCTTTGGTGAGCAAATGTATGTTAGGGATTTAAGAGAGCTCAGTTCTAAGAACCAAAATCTAAACTACCTATGTAGTCAATTTGAGATTAGATTAATCCTAATTAACAAGCATGCTTCACCGTACTAGTGCCGATGTAGATTGATTCTACTCTAGCCTAGTCCTGACTGAATACTACAATACGGGCATCACGACTTTGACTTTTGAATCAACATCAGTCCCGGTCAAATATTGTAATGCTGATGTCACCATTTATGCCACATGATTGCAACTAGAAGGCATGGAGTTGGCTCTAATACAATTTGATAGGGGTTCAGCAAAATTCACCCTTAAGAGCTGGTTTGTAATGCCAATTTCAAGAATCCTGCATCAATTAGGGTGTTTGGGAGAGCTTCTTTTTTGGTCAACTAGCTTTTAAACTAGCTTTTTCTTATCCCATTGTTTGGTAAATTACCAATGAGCTAGCTTATAAGTCTTATTTAAAACAAGATGGGATTCCCCAACTTTTGAAAAACTCGCTTATAATCTCATATAAATAAGCTAGGTTTGACTAAGTAAATGATCTACCCATAAAACTTTTTAAAGAAAATTATCATAAAAGCCAAAAGCCATCAAAAGCCAGCATGATTTATAAGCTCCTAAAAGTTAGTCCTCCCAAACACCTTTAGCTGAGTAGAATAAAATGCATCCTAAATAATGTTTGTTAGATTTTGTAATTGGTGAGAGCATGCGATTTAAGTTTGTTATTAGCTAAGTTATCATGAGCACCTCATTAAGGCTCCTATAACCGTGTCCAATGTATTAAATATCGAAAATATCGAAAATATTGGATGATCAAAATCCATGTCGGAGATTGCGAAAATCGTGGATATATATGGGATGTGTAAAAAATATCAAGGGTGTCATATTAGATGATGTTTATATGTAACATAACATTGTAATATGCAATCAAAACATATTAATGTATTCGAAGCATAAGAAGTTGCATCATGAATAATGATATACGATGTTTAGAAATATTAGATATATGTATAGATCACAGAGAGAGAAGACAGAACAGAGGAGAGAGAGAGAGAGAGAAGACAAAGAGAGAAGGGAGAGAGAAGTTGAGAGAGAGGAGAGAGGATGAGAGACAGAGGGGTCTAAGGAGAAGCTGAGAGAGAGGAGAACTGGAGAAGAGAAAGAGAGAGGAGAGAGATTCGTACCTGAGATCGCCTAGCGTTTTTGAGCTAGAGTGTCAAAGGAAGAGGGAGGAGAAATATGAGATTGACTAAGGATTTACCGATTTAATGTATTTGGGTTTGAGAATTTATTAAGTTTTCGAGTCTAGTGAGAACCAAAATCAAATCCAAACTCAATAATCCTTACATTTGGATATTAGCCAATATCGGTTGATATTTCCTCAATGAAATGTCGGCTGATATTTTAGATATATTAGAAAAAGTTGTAAAAATAAAAAAATAATATTTTTTTCATAAATATCGTATCGGAAGGGCATCAAAACCGATATATCAGTTGATATAGAGATATATCAGCCAGTATTTAATACACTGTCCGTGTCTTCCACTTAATGTACTCATACCCATCTCTGACACTCCATGGACACTCCTTGGACATGTATACATTTATTTAGACATGAACTCAATTATATGATACTTCATTTGGATAGCTAATTGTGTGGTTTGATAGGTGGGAATAAACTTTAAGCTTCTTCCTAGAGAACTATAGCTTACTGCTCTCCTTGCTGGCCATTTTTGGAACTTAGCTCAACTTATGATTTTAGAAGGTAAATGTGTTGTTTTTTTTTATTTATCTTCCATTCTTTTCTCATCACCTTTAACTTATACTTGACAGGTGTTATCCACACGCCTTGGCAGGAAGCCTGAGGACATCATCAAGCTTGATGCAAATTTATACTTGACAGGTGTTATCCACACGCCTTGGCAGGAAGCCTGAGGACATCATCAAGCTTGATGCAAATGAAAATCCATATGGTCCACCTCCCACGCCTTGGCAGGAAGCCTGAGGACATCATCAAGCTTGATGCAAATGAAAATCCATATGGTCCACCTCCCGAGGCAAGTTATGATGGCTTGACTAATATATGTAGGTTTTAACTTCACCAATAGCAGTCATTTAGACCAATTTTTCTGTTTGTATTCTTGCTTTTACGTAATAAAACTAATATAGAAATAATTTCAATCTCCTGGAATCTGGCTGATAAATAACTCTGGAGTATCACTAAAATTTGTACTATGCTGACAAATCTCTCAACTTTTGGATTTCATGAAGAATGCCTAACTATTTGCATGTAAGAACTCATACATTATCTGTAGAGAATTTGAATCATGATCCAGTGGCCTTTTGCACCAGTAGATTTGATTGTCCTTTAACCTTGCCTCTCATGATTTCTACAATCACTTAAGAAATATAACTATTTCTGGGTGTTGGTCCAATTGATCTCTCACCACATGCGTTGAGATCCATCAATGTTACTTTTTACGACATGAATGTAGTGCAATTACCACAAAAAAGGATAAAAATTTAGTGATTATGATTTTTCTAAGTTTCTATCTAAACTTTTAAAGGTGGCGGAGGCTTTAGGAACAATACGATTTCCTTATGTTTACCCTGATCCTGAAACCCGTCGATTACGTGCTGCTCTTGCTGAAGATTCAGGTCTTGAATCTGATTATATACTTGCTGGTTGTGGTGCAGATGAACTTATTGATCTAATTATGAGGTTAAAACGTGAATCCTCCTGATTTTATTTATAATTTCCATTTTTTGCACATTATGCATCGATAGTAGTGATGTTGATCTTGTTAATCTATGGTAGATGTGTGCTTGATCCTGGTGATAAGATTGTAGACTGCCCTCCAACATTTACAATGTACGAGTTTGATGCAGCTGTTAACGGGGCACTGGTCATTAAAGGTACTTAGTTGGTTTTGTTTTAAATTGTTCCTTTCTTTTTGCGAAGAAGAATATGACTGAGTGATATTTTGATCAGTTTGCCCTGAATGCTGTGCATTGAACTTTCCTATGGCGTCTATTTCTTGATAGTACTTCATTCATTTGTTAGAAATGAATGTAGTTCATTCCAACTAAAGTGTTACAAAATTTGACAGCCATATGTTTCTGGTCTATGCAGTTCCAAGGCTGCCAGATTTTTCTTTAGATGTTTCTGGCATTGCTGAAGTTGTCAAAGAGGAAATGCCAAAATGCATTTTCCTTACATCCCCAAACAATCCAGATGGAAGGTAGATTCCCTGTTCAGTCTGCCATTTTTTTCTTTTATCCAATAATGATGAGATTTCAAAATATTATTATAGAACAAGATGTTGAATAGCTCAATTTTGGACCTCTGGTTATATAGTTGTAACTTTCAAATCTCATATCGTATTGATGTCATAATTGTTACTTCTTGCAGTATAATCGATGATGAAGATCTCTTAAAGATTCTTAGCATGCCTATATTGGTTGTACTGGATGAAGCCTACATAGAATTCTCTGGTCTGAAGTCGAGGATGGACTGGGTAAAGAAGCATGAAAATTTGATTGTCCTCCGGACATTTAGCAAGCGAGCAGGTTAATCAGCTTGCTTCTGTCATTATCCATGAGCATGATTTGTTTAATTCCAAAATCACTTGCATTGTATATTATCACTTTTCTATATGGATCTATTTTTAACTTATATTTTTTTGGCTATTCTTTTCTGTAATCATTTCCATAGGTTTAGTTATTTGAATTACAGTTGTCGTTGAGCATGTCTTGCAAATAAGTTCCCTGGCCTAGATTGTACCTGAGATGAAGTCACACATCTCATTATTTTCGCCATTGATCTATACTCCCTAGTCTAGTAGACTGGAAGCTTTCTCCTTTATCCATTAGTAATTTATGCTGCAGATAATGAACATTTTTATACCTGCCATGGAGTTCCTGGTAATGACATAGCAAATTTCTAATCATGGTAATCACATAGCAAATGTCTAATTTTCTTAGTCAGAAACTACCTATTAGTTCAGCTGGTTGACTTCAGTTTGGTAGCAATCACGAATTTTGAATACTTTCTCAGTCTTCCTGACTTGGACCTTTTGCTAACATTGGAAACAGTTTTAATAGGAAAAATTCTTAGATGACAACTGTAATGCTCGACTGCTTTGCATCATCCAATAGATTGTCTTGTTATATGTTTCAAGAAGACTGGCTTCCAGCAGAACTAATCTTTATCTTTTGTCTGATATGCTTTGACTGAAAAGCAAATTCTATAGTTGATTCTGTGCTGAACAGGATGCACTTGCTTTTTATTGTCAAAAAGGTCTAACTATAATATTAACTATATGTTAAATAGAGTTGAATTGCTTACTTGCTCTTCTATTTATCTAGTCGTAGTTATGGTGAATTCAACGTGCATGCGTAAAGTCAAGAAAACAGTTATGGGATAATGCATGTATCTTGAAGCAAGATGGCTCAAGGGTGGTTAATTCGTCTTGCAGAAATTTAAAAGATGTACTATGTAGTCATTCTTGCTCTTGATGATGGAATTATGTTCATAGTGAAAAGACATTTAAACCATACGGCTAGAGTTTGGTTTGCATCTTCAGCCTTGACTGACATCTCTTTCCTCTTGGTGTAGGACACTTTAATTTTGTAGAGTACAAAGTTCCCACTCCATACATTAGAAAGCACAGGTTAACTCATAAATCTTGCAAATACACGGGGATCAGTAGAAATACACACGCAAAAAGTGCAGTTTAGACTCAAATCTTGCACTTCAGAAAAATGGCATACATATCAAAGTTTTTCTTGTGAAATTGCTTGTTTGCTTTCTGAATCTTTCCCCTAGTTTTTGGAGCTTTCCATTTTTCTCTATAAATTCTTCCTAGCTATTTCCCCCTATTTGATCACCTTTTCGAAACTGAGGAGCCTTTAGCATAGGTGAATGAGAAAAAGATTCATACTGCCTACCACAGAAGCTTTGGATGAATGCTTTGTTGTTGTTGCTGCTGCTGAAAGAGAACAAATTGAGACTAAGATATTTGAACTTTGTATGGTTTGTTTTCTTACTTTGCCATTCACCTACAGCTAATTACTCATGTAGTACCAAACCGTTTTTCAGTCATAGAGCAGTCAGGCTTCAGTGAAATAGAGAACCATGCGAGTTCTCTATAAGAATATCTGCATCACTTTATTACCATGTAAATTTTGTGGGAAGTAAATAACAAGAAGTCCCTCACCCCTTTCATCTAATATCAACATAATCATCTACAATGTAATCTTCCAACATGATGATACACTGAAAATATTGCTATTGATGTTTGTATAAGATGAACCTGAGAAATTTATACTTCTGCTTTCAACTTGACAGGGTTAGCTGGACTTCGTGTTGGATATGGTGCATTTCCTCTTAGCATTATCCAATATCTATGGAGGGCAAAGCAACCATATAATGTGTCTGTGTATGGTGCATTTCCTCTTAGCATTATCCAATATCTATGGAGGGCAAAGCAACCATATAATGTGTCTGTGGCAGCTGAAATTTCTGCATGTGCTGCCCTAAGCAATCCTAATTATTTGGAGGTACATTCGCATAATATCATGTGCTTGCTTGTTTATAAGATGATTATCAAGTTTACCATGTCACCTAATTGTTTATTTAAATCCTTCAGAAGGTGAAGAATTCTCTAGTTCAGGAAAGAGAGAGGTTATTTAGTCTTTTGAAGGAAGTGCCTTACTTGAAGCCGTTCCCAAGCTATTCTAACTTTATTCTTTGTGAGGTTACATCTGGGAAGGATGCTAAGAGATTAAAGGTAAGATATATTCTTCACACTCCATTATTGAAGAAAGAAAAAAAATAGTTGCAATGTTTTAAATATCGTCTGTGCAATGTTTTAAATATCGGCCGATAAATCGATATTATTGGCGATTTATTGGTTTTGAGGGTCTTCCGCTATGATAAGTTCAATTCTAAATCAGTTATCATTTTTGGATGTTATCGCCAATAATGCGGTGATAAAGTGAGTTACCAGCCGATATTGTTGGCCCAAAAATCAAAATTGCCGGCCTTTGGCTTCAGTTTTGATTTCGGGCAATAGGCATCTATTCCATACACTTTAAACCCGACCCGACCCGAGTTTTCACCATTAATTGGTGATCCTAAACATAATTATTTGCATGTTGGTATATTTATATTTCACTATGTATGGTTAGATTATATTTTAGAATACTATACTATGTATATCACCATCCGGTAAAGTCACTCCGATAAATACTACTTATCCCTGATATATCCCCAATATCCGCTACCAAATATAGATTTTGACCATCGGATAAGTCCCTGATAACTGATATTAAAAACCTTGGCAATGTGCCATAATCTTTAATTATATTGTATTTACAAGATTTATTTTGAAAGTATGAATTGCTATTGACAGTTATATGCTGCTAGTTATCTCACTTCAGATGTCAAATAAATGTTTTGCTTCTTATTACAACAACTTTATTGGTAGATTCATCTTTAATATTTATTTAGAAGAACCTAGAACAAGTAATGAAATAATTTAATCATATAAGAAACATATAAATGTGGCATAACACCCATCGCTACCTGATATCGATTGTTGACCACTAACCAACAATCTATGCGGAAGTGATGCCTGAGGAAGCTTTACCGAACACCCCAATTAGCTCTACTCTATTTTTGTAGATCAATCAACCACCTAGTGTCGGCGATGGAGAACTCTGAGAAACTTATTCGAGATAAAGAGAAATAAGAGCAGTTACGGCAGAAAATAACTCAAGAGCACAAAGACACGCGATTTTCGTGGTTCGATAATTGCCTATATCCACGGGGAGAGTTTTGAGTCTTCTTTATATGGAAGACTTCCAAGTTACAACATTTCTTGTGTTCGGATAGATTCACAAGAAACTCTCGCTCAATTCTTACCAAAAGATCTCTCAAATCCTAGATTTCTCTCCTTAGTTTCTTTCTACTTCTCTCTTACAATATGCAACTCTCCTTGTCTTGCTACAAACCCTAGACCTCAGGAACAACTCTATTTATAGAGTAAGAATCATGGAGACAAAACACATTCCCAAAAAAAAAGACGGCGCAAAACCCAATTTTGCCCAATCTATAGCTCGTGACAGGCTAGGGTGATAGTTCACTCTCACCACTATCCCGTGACAGGCCACG